TTTCCTGCTGACTTCAAAATTAAAACATTTTCATGGGGCCCTAAAAATATCACAGGCCCTCAGCATTGTGTCTAATGGAAAAGTCATCCCCAAGGCAAAATAAACGCCTTTTAAAGTCATGAGTATGTTTGTATTACGAATATAAAATATTTAAATACCCACAAAATCATGTTTTATGTAGGGACAAAAAGAGATGCTTGGGTACGATGACCTTGGACTGGGTGGGTGTAATTGCTTCCTGAACAACCCTTCCCACCCTTCTTTTTTTTTTTTTTTTTTTCTTTTTTTCTTGCGGTACGCGGGCCTCTCACTGTTGTGGCCTCTCCCGTTGCAGACCACAGGCTCCGGACACGCAGGCTCAGAGGCCATGGCTCACGGGCCCAGCCGCTCCACGACATGTGGGATCCTCCTGGACCGGGGCACGAACCCACGTCCCCTGCATCGGCAGGCAGACTCTCAACCACTGCGCCACCAGGGAAGCCCTACCACCCTTCTTCTTAATTACACAACTAGGAGATGTGGATAAGTCTGAGTCTAAGCCACATCACGACCACGACCATCACCACCAATTCCAAGAATGGGTCCCCAGAGGTTTAACCCAGTGGAGAGAACCCACGTCTCTCCCACAGTGGCTGAGCAGGGATGGCTGCTACCCCAGGCTTAAGCCAATCGGCACATGATGCTCCCCTGGCTTTAGGAATTGACTCGGGATAAGAACTTGACCTACCTTATCAAATTTCATCCAGTCAGAGTAAATGTCAAGACTCTTGTTTAGTGGTTGAGGGAAGAGATATCCTCTTTGTTCGCTGGAAGCACGTGCCCATGTTGTATGGCAACCACTTTGTCAACACAGATGGGCAGAGCTGAGAGAATTACAGAGAAATGGAGCACATGATGGCTGGACTTTTTCAATTATGTGAACCAATAAATTCTTTTTATTGTGGAAGCCAGTCTGAACTGTTTTGTATCTTCTAACTAGCAATTAAGAGCATGTGTAACAGTCTGTTACAGTCTGTTAACATTGAGGTTTCGACTAAGAGTGCAAGATGAGGTAAAGATGACTTACCAGAATGTGTGAGTCCCATTGCTTCTCCCACCCCACGCCCCGGAGGAATCTTCAGAGCGGATACTGGAGAACTAATTCCCTGCTGCCCTTAAACCTCCTCCCACATTTGGGGAATGTTAGAGACTGGAGTAAGTGGCGACAGGGATGACTTCCTGAGCGTTTCTTTGGAGACTGGCTGGGTTGTGATTTCCAGTCCTCTTCCCCAGTAGATAGGGTGAAGGGTATCTGCCCACTTGCTTCAGTCTGGCTGAGAGGAGACTTCAAGGAACCATTCCCAGAGCCTGTGTGTCCCCAGGTGTTTGCAGACACAGTGGCCCGCAGGAGAATTCAGCTGTTGAGTTGTTTTGGGGGCGTGGGGTGCGGGACACAACAAAGGTGAGCCAGATAGGGACTTCCCTGGTGTTACAGTGGTTAGGAATCCGCCTGCCAATGCAGGGGATACGGGTTCGAGCCCTTGTCCGGGAAGATCCCACATCCCGTGGAGCAACTAAGCCCGTGCGCCACAACTACTAAGCCTGCGCTCTAGAGCCCGCGAGCCACAGCTACTGAGCCTGCGTGCCACAACTACTGAGCCCACGCGCCTAGAGCCCGTGCTCCGCAACAAGAGAAGCCACCGCAATGAGAAGCCCGTGCACCGCAGCAAAGAGTAGCGCACGCTCCCCACAACTAGAGAAAGCCTGCGTGCGGCAACGAAGACCCAACGCAGCCAAAAATAAATAATTAAACATGTATACATTAAAAAAAAAAAACGTGAGCCAGATAGATTGTCAACTAGTTACGAAGTTTGCTGGTGGGAAGGTCACCTAGAATTTTAAGTTTTCCCAAGAAGATGACCTGGAAGGATGAAGATTCTCCAACAGGGAGCATTCACGTGTGAAAGGGCCCCTGGAGAACCAGGGGGGCAGCAGCCCAAGGGGAGACTCCCCGCTCATGGGTGTGTAGCTGGGGGGTGGGGTACAGGGAGTTTCTGAGGGACCAGGAGAGAGAGCTGGTTCTAATCATGCCAAGCCACAGGGTGCAAAACCAGGTTATGACAGAACCAGTTCAAGTGAAACTGCCCTGTCCCCTTTGTCCCCCACTTCAGTCTAGGAATGGGATGAGCAGGGGCCAGATGAGGTGTAAAAAGGAGCAGAGCCAGCCATGTGCCCTTCCCCCACTAGAGGCAGGAGCCCACTTGCACATCCTACCTGGGGGCGGGGGATGATTCTTACGCTGGAGTGAGGATTGCAGTGTTGATTAATATCTTGGACTGAATGCTGTCATTTCATCATTGAGATTCTGTTTGCAACTGAAGTGGCTGCAAAATTGTTTACTCCCTAGATGGGAGGCTGGGGGAGTACTCAAATTCCAACAACTTGGGGAGGGTTGCTTTACAAAGTGTCAAATAACAAAGGTGGAGACTGCATGGCAGGAGAAAACCTCAGGGATAGAAGGAACCTCAGT